ATTTGTGTTTGGTTAGGGGTTGAGGTCAAGTAAGATGAGAAAATTTGATATGGGGTGAACTGGACCAAACGATGTAGTGAATGTGGTGAACTAGGGAGTGGGAGGGAAGGTCATGTCACGTGATGCTATGATAGGGTGGTATTAGGTGTGATATCATCACTATCACTTCAATAACAATTGCGATAATTATTCATCGTTTGAAACCGCAATTATGTGTTCAAAAAAAATTGTGACGCAAGTGTTACTGCCGTGGTAGTGATGATATCACAGTTGATACCACCCTACCATGGCATGACGTGACATGATCTTCTCTCCACCTTCGTTCACCACATCGTTCGGACCAGTTCATCTCCATATCAAATTGTGTCATCTAGCTTGACCTCACCCCCTAACCAAATACAAATCACGCAACGCACTTGTCCACCACCTTGTTCAAATGACTCAATTCAACTATTATGTTTCTTTCAAATGGGAATTCGTCGTGTATATAGCAAATGAACTGAAAAGCTCGGAAGCACTGGACAGCTGTTTCGACCTGGTTGGGTCTCATCAGCAGTGCGAATCTATCGAACCCGGGACTTCATGGGCAGAACGCAAGCGTGCTACCCACTACGCCACCGGGCAGCTGATCAGGCCGTTTTTCATTTTCCATTTACACTTAGTGGGTAGCACATTTGCGTTCTGACCATAAAGTCCCGGGTTCGATACCCAGTCGGGTCGATAGATTCGCACTGCTGATGAGGCCCAACCAGGTCGAAACAGCTATCCAGTGCTTCCGAGCTTTTCAGTTCACGCTTCATTTGCTACATACACGACGAATTCCCATTTGAAATTTAACCAAATCCTCCATTACTCACATAATATTGTTTCTTCGTCTTACATGATCATATAAACGTGCGTTTACACCTGAATGAGAGCACGCGAAATTGATGACCAATATCAATTCAGCCCACATAGGTCTTCTTGTGTTGATGAAATGGATGAAGGGAAAAGGGTGTTTTACATAACTGTGAATCATCTCGTGGTTATTATTGAGACACTAAATCTGTTCCATGAAATATATCGCCTTTTCAGTGGTGCAACACTTCTGAATCCCGACTGTAATGATTATTTTTTTCAGATACTTTCCGAGCAGTAGTTATCTCAGTGGAACGCTCATGACTCCTATTACCTCGTTAGATGTTACCTAGGGTATATGTGAAACAGAGGAGAGTAGTTGCCATGGCTGCTGTTCATCAAGAAAAAGAGATATAAGACAACTAAACGGATTAATTTACGTATAAGTTCCATTGTATCACATAATTTCTCGACTTCGCAGCATGATTTACCATGGTGCGCTCATCTTCAACAATTTCAGCCAGGGATTGTCGGCTGACACTCGTTCTTGTTCATGATCTAGATCTACTGGGTTAGGCCTATCGTTTGGGGCTCTGTGTCGATCGTTAGTTGGATTATCCAAAACTCACCATAGTAGTCCGCGGCCATTTCCATCGCCAGTTCGGATTTCCCATTGCATGACAGACCCTAATATGAAGTACTTTCACTTTGTCGTATTTACCTACTAATGAGTAGCTTGTTGCATGAATCGACCAATGTATTGCAAATAAGAGAGAGAGCCGGAAAGAGATGTGGACTTGGCATAGTCCGTGTTTCCTTTTCAATGATCAGATGAACATCTTTGGTGCTAATTTATAGTTCAAATTTGAGATTCTGTATATATATTACTTATTATAGAATATTCTACCGAGACCATCAGGTCACGTTTGTTGCGGTTAGCAGCATCTAACCCACTTACATCGATCGAATCATAGCATTGGTTGTTCATTGGACTGGCTCTGAAAGAGTTGTCTATCCAATGGTCACCCGGTGTTGAAAACAAGGTTATTGTAACGAAAATACACTTCCTGAGAACAAGTATATGAATCAACTGACAAAAGATACGCATGCCTGACGAGCGGCAAGAATCGCGAAACCGTTCGTGTGCTTTCAGGGAAATTTTGTCCAGTCGTTCACTTACTAATTATTATCGAATATATGTATATATATCAAACTCAGATTCAAAATTTTCTTATGGGAAACACTTACAGACTTCGCTTATCGAAGCACGATTCGCAAGATCACAGCTAGTTCATGTACGCAAAAGAGTAATGTAATCTTTGTGACGAGCACAGGAGAATACATTATGTAGTTGGGTGTTGAAACAATGTTTGCCAGAACATCATCAAGCTGATGCTTGAAAGATACTAATGTTGGCGCACAGACCACGTGAGCCGGTAGAAAGTTCCATGTGCTGCACACTCGGACTGCAAACGAATGGCGTCTGCAGTCGAGACGGCTCTTTTGGAGTGCCAACTTCAGTGGATACTCTCTGAGATGAACATTGTTTGATAGAACCAAAGGAGATCTACATGGACTGTTGGACTGTTGAAAAATGCCATACACTAAGATGATATTACCTCTGATTTGATGATATTGAGATGAGCATAGCCCCAATAGCTGTAATCTTTCGCCATAGGTCTTGGAATGTAGACCATCTTGACCATCCTGGTAGCCATTCTCTGCGGATATTCGAGTGCCTTCCAATCTCGCTGCAGCCGTGGGTTCCAGACCTGANCTCGTTGTATGGACGGATATATGTGGCTAAAAGACGTGGAAACGAAGCCGGCTCAAACGATTCAAAACCACGTTTGAGCAGTCCAATCTGTTTATACCGCCATGGGTGATACCGTGGAACAGTTTGTGGAGCAACTCAACTCACAAATGATTACTCCCAGATCCTTCTCGGATGAAGTATGAGGCAGAGTTTCGTGTCCGAGAGTGTAGGAATAACGACCATTGTGAGGTAGTGATAAAACTTTACATTTGGTAACGCTGAATTCCAAATCATTGGAGATAGACTATCTGTGGGCTTCGTCCAGGGCGTTCTGGAGATCAAATGAATCTTCTGGTTTTGTTNGTTTTGTTATTGTCCTCCATATTTTGGCATCGTCTGCAAACAGCAGAGTTTGTGGTCCGAGGACGTCTGGAAGATCATTTATAAAGGCAAGGAAAAGACGTGGGCCTAGCACAGATCTCCGTGAAATCCTACGGTTGACATCTGTTAAATCAGAAAGTGAATCGGAAACGCGAACTGACATGGTACATAGTCGAAGAAACTCCTTGATCCAGCCAAGTACGAGTCCACGGAGTCCATAGTTATATTGCTTCCGAGTCATGATCTACCCTATCAAACGCCTTGTAGAAATCCAGGTAAATAACATCTACCCCTTTGCCTTGGTCTACAGCATGAGTCCAATCGTCCCGAGCCAAAATCAAGTTAGTTGCACATGAACAATTTTTCCTAAACCCTTGCTGCCTGGAGAGAGTAAGTCATTTTTCTCCAGGTGATCCATTACAGAATTCGCAACACTGAAAGGAGAGTGACGGGCCAGTAGTTGGCTGGGGCACTACGGCATCTACCTTTGTAAATTGGTGAAATGACACCGTTTTTCCGCACCTGAGGAAGCACGGTATCTTCAAACAGTTTTTAGTATAGTTCACTTAAACGATCGGCTATGTGACTTGCCAGGGTGGTAAGGGCTTGTAGATGTATGCTATCCAAACCCGGTGATGAGTTCTTCTTCAAAACCAGGAGGTTTGCCTTTATCCTTTCGGGAGAAAAGATAGTGTCTGTCAGTAATGGATAAGAAATATGTTCCAACAAACATTGAAATAATAACCCAGTATTACTAGGCGCATTGATCACTTGCGCGTACTAAAGTCTGAGCATTTCTGCAGCCTCCTTT